TAATTGACAATGTCACAAATGTAAAGAAAAATCATAAATCATATACTAGATTTTTATAACCTAACTAAGCTAAATGCCTAACTATTGATTTATGTTTAGTATAAGTTAGCTTTATATTGAAGATTCGGACGATGCACGTCAATACCTCTTCAACAGAACATGCCAGAATGATATAAGTGACATATTCTAAATCAGCTCACGATAACGAACAAGCTCTGTTCCGTTTTCAAAAAGTGACTTTATGGTCATTTCAATGGCAGATTCTCTGTGTACTTTAAGTTTAGGGACCTTCTTAAAAGTGCAACTGTTAACTGAAAAACTGAAATAGCTTTGCAACCACACGACATAGAACTCTCAAACCAACTGTAATATGTTCAGGGACAATCAACGGCAATTAGTTTATTTTTATTATTACTTTGACTATTTTCTATCCATTTAAATTGTATACATAAAAATACTTCCTTCAAACGTCAATAACTTCCACCCAATAATAAGCCCCCCTCCCCGGGGCTTGGCCCACACTCCCTGGGGAGGCCACAGACCTCCCTGGCCCTCTGGAGCTATCTCATTCAATGCAATGAAGTGTGGATAAAAGGCTGGAGTAACTACGAGTCTCTTAAAGGGATAATCCACCCAAACCACTAATTCATATGATTAACAGTGTTTAACAGTGTTAAATAACACTAGTATGTAAAAACAATATTTTTGTGAACAAGTGTTTCATTTTGTCGCTATACCAAGGTTTGTAGCAACATTTGAAAATTGTGGTGGAAATCTGTTGCAGCTCAAGTCGTCCACAATGCAAGGCTACACTGTTTAGATTGAGCATACCTAAACAAAATATATACTTTGTCATGACAATATGAACATATGGATGTGTTCTAGACAAGTATGCCCATACCATATATTGGCTGATTTGACAATCTGGAGTCCAGGTTGTTTTAAATGCATTATGAAATGTGATAGTGTGTTATCCCCTATCTCCAGTGACCAGAACCATGTAGCTATGATGTGTTTCTACACAATGTCCTGACCACTTAGAAGTTAAAGCTTGCGGGAAAATTGTAATTTTTTGTAAACATACATTTACATTTTAGTCAGTTAGCAGACACTCTTATCCAGAACGACTTACAGGAAACTGTCATGGTCAAAACATATTGATACAACAGTAGCTAAGATGGGGAGAAATATGTCCATAATTAAACGCTGTTCTGCCTTTTTAACAACAGTATCAACAAGGCAGGTCCTACAGGTGCTAGTTTTGTCTTACCTAGACTACTGTTCAGTAGTGTGGTCAGGTGCCACAAGGAGGGACTTGGGAAAACTACTGTTGGCTCAGAACAGGGCAGCATGGCTGGACCTTAAAAGTACACGGAGAGCTAACATTAATGACATGCATGTCAGTCTCTCCTGGCTCAGAGTGGAAGAGAGATTGACTTCATCACTGCTTGTTTTTTAAAGAGGTGTAGACAAGCTAAATGTACCGAGCTGTCTGTTTGGAATTCTGGCACACATGCCCCACGAGACATGCCACCGGAGGTCTCTTCACAGTCCGCAAGTCCAGAACAGACTACGGGAAACGCACAGTACTACATAGAGCCATGACTACATGGAACTCTATTCCACATCATGTAACTCAGTCAAGCAGTAAAATAAGATTTAAAAAACAGATTAAACTACACTTTATGGAACAGCGCGGACTGTGAAGAGACACACCCACAACGTCTTCATCGACATGGCCAAGGCTTCCGACTCTGTCAACCACCGCATTCTTATTGGCAGACTAAATAGCCTTGGTTTCTCAAATGACTGTCTCGCCTGGTTCACCAACTACTTCTCAGATAGAGTTCAATGTGTCAAATCGGGGGCCTGTTGTCTGGACCTATGGCAGTCTCTATGGGGGTGCCACAGGGTTCAATTCTCGGGCCGACTCTTTTCTCTGTGTATATCAATGATGTCGCTCTTGCTGCTGGTGACTCTCAGATCCACCTCTACGCAGACGACACCATTTTGTATACATCTGGCCCTTCATTGGACACTGTGTTAACAAACCTCCAAACGAGCTTCAATGCCATACAACACTCCTTCCGTAGCCTCCAACTTCTCTTAAACACTAGTAAAACTAAATGCATGCTCTTCAATCGAACGCTGCTGGCACCCGCCCACCCGACTAGAATCACTACTCTCGGCGGGTCTGACCTAGAGTATGTGGACAACTACAAATACCTAGGTGTCTGGTTAGACTGTAAACTCTCCTTCCAGACTCACATTAAGCATCTCCAATCCAAAGTTAAATCTAGAATCTGCTTCCTATTTCGCAACAAAGCCTTCCACATGCTGCCAAACATGCCCTCGTAAAACTGACTATCCTACCGATCATGACTTCGGCGATGTCGTTGACAAAATAGCCTCCAACACTCTACTCAGCAAATCGGATGTAGTCTATCACAGTGCCATCCGTTTTGTCACCAAAGCCCCATATACTACCCACCACTGTGACCTGTGCGCTCTTGTTGGCTGGCCCTCGCTACATATTCGATGCCAAACCCACTGGCTCCAGGCCATCTATAAATCACTGCTAGGCAAATCCCCTCCTTATCTTAGCTCATTGGTCACCATAGCAACACCCACCCATAGTATGCGCTCCGGCAGGTATATCTCACTTCAATGAATCCGCTTAATGAGTTTAGACCAAAAACACCACTTAATTTCCTTATGAGATTTTAGGATGATTAGCGACGTGGTCGCTGCAACCTGGACTCAGGGGTAGACATAACATAGTAAATGTAAATCTGAGAACAACCAATTAGTATAATATGTTACATTTCATATGGTATGGATTATTTTGTGGATGGCCATCATCTATTTAGTATGATATGTTATCAATAAAAATGTGTACAAAATATTACGAATTTGCTAAACGTATGATATGTTACTAATTCCAACAACGTTAGCTAGGTGGATGGTGGCTAACGCTAACATTAGCTAGGTGGTTAAAGTTAGCTAGGCAGGGGTTAAGGTTAGGGTTAGGAGTTAGGTTAAAGGGTTAGCTAACATGCTAATTAGTTGCAAAGTAGCTAAAAGTAGTAAGTAGTTGCTAATTAGCTAAAGTTGTCCTTGATGAGATTTGAACATGCAACCTTTGGCTTCCTAGATGTTCGTTATACGCCTGACCAACCACCCTACTTTTATTTTTGTTGCTTTAAGCAGTGGCGACCCGTCAATCAGGGCAGGAGGAGCGGAGCCCCACCTGTTTTGAGCCTCACCTGTAAAATGTTTGTTGTTTTGCCTGTTTGCATGTAATTCTGGCATTAATTCTTTTCACATATCAGTTTAGCAAACAATGTAGGACTTGTGGTCAATCATTTTACATTTTACATTTTTTTGCAGACGCTCTTATCCAGAGCGACTTACAGTTAGTGAGTGCATACATTTTTCAATCCTCAAGAGGCAGGTGGACAAACAAAAACCCTGCAGTTCTGCAGTTGGGACAGCTTTATGTAGGCTCTATCAGTTTGTGGCCACCGTTTGGCACCGTTATAGTGCAATCAATGTATTGTTTAGTGTTGTGTTGTGGCTTTGCTGGCATGCATCTGGAAGAGAAAAAAAACGCCGGAGTTTGCCCCACCAACATTGACATGCTAAAATCACCACTGGGTGGGTCAAGCATAACATTACAACCCTGTTACCCATAGATAGAAGGTCTAGAATGATTTCAACAATTTACATTTGTTTGGCAAGCTTGCATTCCATTCCCCCTGTCACACAGGGATTTCTGGTCAATTCAAAATGAAATAGTCAACCCTGTTACAGTCAACCCTGTTACTTTATTTGGAACTTAATAGGCAATTACTATAGTATGTATTTCTTACTCCAGATGGGGAAAACATGTTTTTAATTAAGTTGAACATGTGCTCTTTATGGCAGAATGTTAAAATGAGGTGAAATAAAAGTTAAACTCCCCAAAAGGCACTCAGTTGAAGCTATTTCAATCTGATATTTCTCCTATGGTCTAAAATAGATGTGTATAGATGACACTCTAATATAACATGTCACACATTGTAGCAAACTGATGGAATGTTAGGTGTCTCATTGAAAGTCTAACATCTACCATGACTACTGGATGTTTCAATTCTAATACATAACAAAACAATCGACACCGTAACAACAATATTGCTTTTTTAATTCATTATTTTATTCAAGCTTAAAACTTTGCAAACAAAAATGACATCATCAAACATCACTGGCCTGACTTGAGCAGCTCTGCCCGGGGATTGAGCCATCAACTTAGTTGCTATTGGTCCGGTTAAGGCTACCTGCAGACCTTCTCCCAGACCTCCTCCTCAGCACCTCCCCTTAACACCTCCTAAGACCAGCAGTGGGAACTGAACTAGCAACCGTGGCGTTGCTAGGCTCTGCTCTCAGGGACCATCTCCTGTCAAGACACTTAATCCTGAAATGGCTCTTCGTCCGAGGGGTGCTGCTCCATCGCTGTCCCTGTGCCTCTCAACTTGTGTCATCATTTATTGGGAGTTATCTTCTAGGTCTAGGACAGGAGGGGTCCATGTCAAAACCATGTCCATTTGGGGATATTTTCTAGGACAGGGAGGTGGTGGAAATGATCAGAGTTGCGTTCAACTTGAATAAGATGAGAAACTCGGTATGTGGAGCACTGGACTGAGGGGAAGACCTTCTGGTTTAAACCATGTCCAGTTGGGGATATTTCTAGGCCAGTGAGGTGTGGGGAAATGATCAGAGTTGCGTTCAACTTGAAGAATAATAATAATAATAATAAGCCCATTTAGCAGACGCTTTTATCCAAAGCGACTTACAGTCATGCGTGCATAATTTTTTTTGTGTATGGGTGGTCCCGGGGATCGAACCCACTACCTAGGCGTTACAAGCGCCGTGCTCTACCAGCTGAGCTACAGAGGACCACGTAAGATGAGAATTTGTGGTCTGGGGAGGAGAGTTGCTGACCTTAAAGTTTGTTGCCTTGATTAAGAGGATACTTGCTGGCTTGAGGAGCTTAAAAAGGCATGAAGAACTGAAGAGGAGGAGGAATTATTGGGCGACACTGTGGCTTCGTTGAGTTTCCAGCTCTCAGCAGACAGCAGGTTAGGAAAGCTGTAAGACATCACAGAGACGGGTAAGTATCTACAATACATGTGTGTTGCATGTACACTAAACACTCACATTTGGATAATGTCACTTTTTAAAGTGGCAACATATATATTAACAGTGTAAAACATCAATACATTTTTGAAGCATCTTTACCCCATCTTAATTCTCTTCCAGATGCCTGGATATGTCTTTTTCTTGGAGTCTGGCTCTGCTGTCTCAGCCTCTTCTTGAGCCTCTAGCTGCTGGCTCTGCCCCCCACTCCTGGCTCTCTGCCCCCCCTGCTGGTTCTCTGGCCCCCCCTGCTGGCTCTCTGCCCCCCCCATGCTGGTTCTCTGGCCCCCCCCTGCTGGCTCTCTGCCCCCCCTGCTGGTTCTCTGGCCCCCCCTGCTGGTTCTCTGGCCCCCCCTGCTGGTTCTCTGCCCCCCCCCTGCTGGCTCTCTGCCCCCCCCTGCTGGCTCTCTGGCCCCCCCTGCTGGCTCTCTGCCCCCCCTGCTGGTTCTCTGCCCCCCCTGCTGGTTCTCTGCCCCCCCCTGCTGGTTCTCTGCCCCCCCCTGCTGGTTCTCTGGCCCCCCCTGCTGGTTCTCTGGCCCCCCCTGCTGGTTCTCTGCCCATGCCTGTTGCCTCCTTGGCCTCTCCTGCTGGCCTTCTCCAGATCCAATGGGCTCTTGGCTTAAGCTCTTGGTTGGACAGCGGGTGATGTACTGGGTGCTGCACTTCTTGATTTGAGCATCAGCCTCCAGATTCATCTGCTCCAGCCATTTCTCCTGCTTTTCATTTAGGGACTGTTCCTTCATCCTCTCCCTCTCCTCTTTACGTTTGTTGTTTTCTAAGCAGGGACTGGGCTCTCCACTGCTTATGATAATCCTCCAGCTTCTTCCTTATCTCCTCATCCTTCAGGAGCTCCTTCCTCTTCTCCCTCTCTCTCTCGGCCCGGGTGATGTGGGTTGTTTTCACTATGTGTCCAGGAATGACTGGGAGGGGAGAAGAAGCAGAGTTCACATTCAACTTAGGGGATCAGGTATCAACTTATATGCAATGGACACAGGGAATTAAGAACAGAACCCCCAATTGGATCTCAATGATTCTATACTCATTTCAATTGAGCAAGGCATGGTATTTGTCAATAAAGTGCAATATTTTGTCTTCCCATTGCAAAGTGTATATTTGGAGGAAATGTACTCAAAAACCTAAACAAAATGTTGCTTAGGGCCCCCAAAAGGCTATGGTGCACTACTTTTTACCAGGGTCATTGAGATCCAGTTGGGTTTTCAATTCTACATTCCCTGTGTACATTACATTTAAGTTGATACCAGATCAGCTTGTCCATTTTGGGTCAGTAGTTTATATTGAAACAATGATGCAAAATGATGACTGGTGTGTAACTTATGTGTGTGTAGAAGAGACTAAAGATGATGATGATGATGTCATAAGCAGAGGGAAAACAGGTCTTACCAATGTGGATGATCTTATGGCCCTCCTTCTCTCTCTTGATACGTTCTCTCTATCTTTCTGAGGTTCCTCTTCTCCCACCTCTTATTCACCCAGCCCACAGATCTCCTTCGGATACTTTTATCGGGTGGGACAAGATCCTCCTTGTCATCTTCATTCTTCTTCTCCTCTTCAGGGTTCTCCTCCTCCTCTTCAGGGTTCTCCTCCTCCTCTTCAGGGTTCTCCTCCTCCTCTTCAGGGTTCTCCTCCTCCTCTTCAGGGTTCTCCTCCCCCTCTTCAGGGTTCTCCTCCTCCTCTTCAGGGTTCTCCTCCTCCTCTTCAGGGTTCTCCTCCTCCTCTTCAGGGTTCTCCTCCCCCTCTTCAGGGTTCTCCTCCTCCTCTTCAGGGTTCTCCTCCTCCTCTTCAGGGTTCTCCTCCTCCTCTTCAGGGTTCTCCTTCTCCTCTTCAGGGTTCTCTACTCACCCCTCTAGTACTTCTCAAGGATCTTCCTTATTTCCTCTTCCTCCCTTTTGTTAGCCTCTATCATCTTCTCCCTCTCTCTGATTAAAGCTAAATGGCCTTCAATGGCTCTCTTTCTCTCCTCCTCTCTCTCCTCCTCTCTCTCCTCCTCTCTCTGACTCTCCTCCTCTCTTAGTCTGAACCTTTCTTTCTGTCTAGCAATTTCAATCTCTCGTTTTTTATCCTGCTCCTCTTGTCGTCTTGCCCTCTCCTGTTTTCTTTCCATCTCCAGCAGTCTTTCCTCCTTCTCCCTCCTGATTTGTTGTCCTCTTTCCATCTGTTCTCGTTCCCCCTTCAACACTTCTAACCTCCTCTGTTTACGCCTGTTGAAGACTTCCCGTGCTTTTGCTTTAACATTAACTACTACATGCTTCTTTCTTTCTTCTTCTTCTTCAATTTTTTTCTGTCTCTTCTCCATACTCTTCCTTTCTAGCTGCTTGCATCTCTTGTTCTCTCTTTCTTCCACTTCCATCTCTATTTGCTTTTGTTTGTGTCTCTCCTCTTCTTCTCCTCCCTCCATCTCCTTCTTCTTCTCCTCTTCTTGTTGTCCCTGTTTTGGTATTTTCTCTTTTCTCGTTCTTTCTACCTCTTTCTGTGTGTCGTTCTAACCCTCTGTCTTCTCCTCCATGGCCATTTGGTTCTGTTTCCATGTATACTCGTCTGTTTCCATATTTTCTAATTCTGTCAGCTGTTCTTGAAGATTTCCTCCAGATCAGACGTCTTGTTGTCATTGGTGAGGGCTGTCTCTCTCCATCTCTCTCTCTGTCTCTATCAAATTTTCTCTCTGGACTTGTCTTTCAATCTAATCTGTTCTTTCATTCTCGCAACCTCTCTGTCTAACACTAGTACATTTTTGTTAACCTGTTTCACTCTTTCATTCTGTCTTCTAAACGCTTCTTTCGCTCTTTGAAATTTTATTTTGTATTGAATCTCTTTTGTTGTCATGTCTTCTTTCAATCTCTCAACCTCTCTCTCTAACTCTTTTACCTTTTTGTTAACCTGTTTGACTTCCTCATTCTCTGCAGTACGCATGTCTCTTTTTCTTTCAAATGCTATTTCCTGTTCAATCTCTTTCAATCTCTCAATCTCTCGTTCTAACACTTTTATAGTTTCCTCTGCCTGGTTAGGTTCAGGACCTAGGATTGGGTTAAGGTTAGGGTAATGGTTAGGTTCAGGACCTAGGGTTGGGTTAAGGTTAAGGTTAGAGTAATGGTTAGGTTCAGGACCTAGGGTTGGGTTAAGGTTAGGTATAGTTTCAGTGAGGTAAGGGTTAAGGTGAGAGAAAGTCATAAAAGTTATATTTACCCGGCATTTTATATTTACCCGGCATTTTCAGCCGGGTAAATATACACTGCCTTTTAATAATAACAATGTAATATCTTACCTGGGCCAGTTGTAGTTTCGTTATCAGCAGATCCACCAGTTGTTTGAGTCTGTTGATCTCCTCCATTTTTCTCTGGCTCTCTGCCTCTCTGCCTCCCTCAGTCTGCCTCTCTGCCTCCCTCAGTCTGCCTCTCTGCCTCCCTCAGTCTGCCTCTCTGCCTCCCTCAGTCTCTCTGCTTCCCTCTGTCTCTCTGCCTCCCTCTGTCTCTCTGCCTCCCTCAGTCTCTCTGCTTCCCTCGGTCTCTGTATCTGCCTCCCTCTGTCTCTGTCTCTCTGCCTCCCTCTGTATCTCTGCCTCCCTCAGTCTCTCTGCCTCCCTCAGTCTCAGGATCTCAGCCTTCCACTCTTTCATTACACCCCTTTCTACTCTTCTTCTGCTCCTTTCATCCTTTTAAAAGGGCTCTGAGATTGTCTGTTTCAGACTATAATTTTTCAACCATCTCGTCCTTCTCCATTCCACCATTCCCCTTCTTCTTCTCCTCCCAGAGGCACACTTGAAGTCTGTCCATCTCCTTCTTCTGATTTCGGATCGTTCGATCCTTCCCCATCACCTCAAGCATGTGGGCTTCCTTCTCTGTACAGCACTTCTTCTCTTCTCTCAGGAACTCAACCTCCATCTCTGCCTGCTTGTAGCTGGGAGCAAAGGAATGGCAACACATTATTTAGGAAGTGAACTCTGACAATTTATTACAATATTTAAATAATAATTCAACTTCTGCTCAATTACACTGCCTTTAATCACACAACTCACACAACTGTGACTTACAGTACGTGAATGTGATGAGTTGACTGTCCATGATGGCCAGAGGTGGGTAATGTGTGGCTCTGGTCCAGGGCGTTACGTACGGCTTGCTGACACTGACAAGGCTTCAACAAGCCGTGCGTAATGCCCTGGACCAGAGCTAGGTTATGTGACGAATGACTTACAGACTGTTCCACATGATAGGAGGGGGTAAGAAGACAATCCCTTCAGGAGACGGAGATCGTCCAGAAGAAGAAGACGTTTCCATCTCCAAAGAGAAATTAAAAGTTCTCCCCTTAGAGCACGACCTACTTTCTCTGTCACAAAATAACACAAAGTGAATGGAGATCACAGCTCAACATGTTAAAGGAGCAAGCAGTAGTTCAAACCACAAAGCTGCCACACCGTCACCTTTTTGGATAAACAGCTTGGGGATGGGGGCTGGAGTAATTCATAGACGTAGCTATTTGTGCAAGGACTAACCATCCATGAGATCAAAATGATCGTTTTAACCATATTGTTTAAGCTATACAGGGTTTGTTTACAATTACATTGTTTCCAAACATTGGAGTGAAACAAACTCATATTTTGGGTTCTGATGGGGTTAGATAGTTGAACTAAGCTCATGAGACATTTAGGAGAGTCAATGGGTATATATCATTAATTATAAAGTTCAAAATAGATGTAGCAATTGCAGATGGCCTCTTAAAAGACTGAGATTGCCATTCAATCAGTAAGAATATGAACCTTTTTCAATCCAATGTAAAGAGTAGTGTTGCATCAATCTGTTTGACATTGAACTGTGATATCCCATTGGGCACAGATGTCGGTTTAACATCTAGTTTTGATTTACCTTTGGTTGAGTTGTCAACTAAGTGAAGTAGGCTAGCGGATGGTTAATGCTTTGTAAACTTTGCTAAATATTTGACTCACCTCAAATCACTCTTGTCAAATCGCAGTTTTAGTGTGGAACTGAATAATATATTACAGTTCCACACTAAATATATTTGGCATGTGTCCAAAAGTCGATATTGTTTAGCTACTCATAATTGATAAAGACATTATGAACTATTTTCACTTTACTTTTATGTCGTCTATTTTTGCCTAAGGTTATCTGGTAGCCTATGTTCTGTGATTTCTCTTTGTATGGACCTAACGTTCAATGAAATACAAAACAGCAACCACAACGTACAAACATTTCCCACACAAATACATATGTGGGTGTGTAGTGAGTACACAAAATAATAACATAACAGCCATAACAGTACAAACAAACATACAATCTCTAGTGCACCTGTCCAGTGCGAACTGTTCCGTGCGTCACCATCACTAACTGCTGGACTACACCTGGAATAGCAGCGATGGGACAGGACTGGAACTACCAGTTGGAAATCACGAAATTGGGGAGAAAAAGGGGTAAAAGTACCACAAATGATAATATATATATATATACATTGGGGAAAAAAGTATTTAGTCAGCCACCAATTGTGCAAGTTCTCCCACTTAAAAAGATGAGAGAGGCCTGTAATTTTCATCATAGGTACACGTCAACTATGACAGACAAATTGAGATTTTTTTTCTCCAAAAAATCACATTGTAGGATTTTTTTTGAATTTATTTGCAAATTATGTTGGAAAATAAGTATTTGGTCACCTACAAACAAGCAAGATTTCTGGCTCTCACAGACCTGTAACTGCTTCTTTAAGAGGCTCCTCTGTCCACCACTCGTTACCTGTATTAATGGCACCTGTTTGAACTTGTTATCAGTATAAAAGACACCTGTCAACCTCAAACAGTCACACTCCAAACTCCACTATGGCCAAGACCAAAGAGCTGTCAAAGGACACCAGAAACAAAATTGTAGACCTGCACCAGGCTGAGAAGACTGAATCTGCAATAGGTAAGCAGCTTGGTTTGAAGAAATCAACTGTGGGAGCAATTATTAGGAAATGGAAGACATACAAGACCACTGATAATCTCCCTCGATCTGGGGGCTCCACGCAAGATCTCACCCCGTGGGGTCAAAATGATCACAAGAACGGTGAGCAAAAATCCCAGAACCACACGGGGGGACCTAGTGAATGACCTGCAGAGAGCTGGGACCAAAGTAACAAAGCCTACCATCAGTAACAGACTACGCCGCCAGGGACTCAAATCCTGCAGTGCCAGACGTGTCCCCCTGCTTAAGCCAGTACATGTCCAGGCCCGTCTGAAGTTTGCTAGAGTGCATTTGGATGATCCAGAAGAGGATTGGGAGAATGTCATATGGTCAGATGAAACCAAAATAGAACTTTTTGGTAAAAACTCAACTCGTCGTGTTTGGAGGACAAAGAATGCTGAGTTGCATCCAAAGAACACCATACCTACTGTGAAGCATGGGGGTGGAAACATCATGCTTTGGGTCTGTTTTTCTGCAAAGGGACCAGGACGACTGATCCGTGTAAAGGAAAGAATGAATGGGGCCATGTATCGTGAGATTTTGAGTGAAAACCTCCTTCCATCAGCAAGGGCATTGAAGATGAAACGTGGCTGGGTCTTTCAGCATGACAATGATCCCAAACACACCGCCCGGGCAACGAAGGAGTGGCTTCGTAAGAAGCATTTCAAGGTCCTGGAGTGGCCTAGCCAGTCTCCAGATCTCAACCCCATAGAAAATCTTTGGAGGGAGTTGAAAGTCCGTGTTGCCCAGCGACAGCCTCAAAACATCACTGCTCTAGAGGAGATCTGCATGGAGGAATGGGCCAAAATATTTTGTTATTGACCAAAGGAGCGTTCGTCCAACTCTTCATCGAAGTGAATGGCAGCAGTGTATCATCCATCTGCTGAAAGGATAGTTTGCGACGCGACAAGCGTTTGGGGAGTACATTCATTGAAACGGAATGACTGTTTTTAAATTCTAGGGGGACTCTTGCTCCATGGTAAAATCTCAGCAGCGATGTCTCTGCTGTGCGTCAGAGGTTGGTTCTATTCCTCTTCCCTGTTCTTATTATACCGTACATATCTGTCCCATTAATGACATGGCACTCAGGAAAGTCTGTCTGGAGGCTATTGGGTAGCTGCGCATAGACCGTTGAGTTGGCACGTTCCAGTCCAAGCATGACCTGGAATGTGAGAAGGGAGCTATTCTATAACACATGTAGATGACATTTTGCCTTTATGTGTAGATTTTGGTTTTATATTTCACATCTGATTGATGATTAGGCCTATGACTTTTGATTCCACTTTGGCAACCTACCACCATATTGTCCTCTCTTGCAATATCTTACACTTTATGATGCGCTTGTGCAGATCTTCTCTCTAAGCAATAGTCATGATAGTTTGAATGAGTTGAGTAAACTCCACTGTTGTTCTCAGTCTGTACTGTACTGTCCCTGAAGACACTCCACATAGTTGACCTAGATTGAGCCCACTTTGTGCCACTGGTCAACTAGCTAATGCATTTATTGTTTAATAAAAAAGTTAAATAAAACAAAAACAACAAAAAAAGTGTTGAGAAAAAAGAGCAGCAGTAAAATAAAATAACAGTAGGGAGGCTATATAGGGGGTACCGTTGCAGAGTCAATGTGCGGGGGCACCGGCTAGTTGAGGTAATATGTACATGTGGGTAGAGTTAAAGTGACTATTCATCAATAATTAACAGAGTAGCAGCAGCGTAAAAAGATGGGGTGGGGGTGGGTGGGGGGCAGTGCAAATAGTCTAGGTAGCCATGATTAGCTGTTCAGGAGTCTTATGGCTTGGTGGTAGAAGCTGTTGAGAAGTCTTTTGGACCTAGACTTGGCGCTCCGGTACCGCTTGCCGTGCGGTAGCAGAGAGAACAGTCTATGACTAGGGTGGCTGGAGTCTTTGACAATTTTGAGGGCCTTCCTCTGACACCGCCTGGAATAGAGGTCCTGGAGGCAGGAAGCTTGGCCCCAGTTATGTACTGGGCCGTACGCACTACCCTCTGTAGTGCCTTGCGGTCGGAGGCCGAGCAGTTGCCATACCAGGCGGTGATGCAACCAGTCAGGACGCTCTCGATGGTGCAGATGTAGAACTTTTTGAGGATCTGATGACCCATGCCTAATCTTTTCAGTCTCCTGGGGGGGGAATAGGCTTTGTCGTGCCCTCTTCACGACTGTTTTGATGTGTTTGACCATGATAGTTTGTTGGTGATGTTGACACCGAGGAACTTGAAGCTCTCAACCTGT